AAAGTTTGTCTTTTATTTCTTGATTTCTTATCGTCCAATCGGCTCTGCTAAATGCCAGACTTTCACCTGTGTTTATTTCTTTGATACTGGCTTCCCTGTTAATTGTTGCAGAGTAAGCATTATGATCTGAGCATGAAACTTTGTCAATGCTGTATGCGTTAGTTGCTGTTTGGTCCGTATGCCAGTTGAGTATCACTCCAGGGTTGTTTGTTAATAAAACATCAAGCTGCTTTTTTTGGAGTCGAATAATTGTTCATAGTCAAGTTCAATGAGCTTTTTTAACACTGCATTTTCATATTCGTCCTTTGAGTGCATCATTTTCTGATTAGTGTATTCAAAATTTATACACTGCGTTACAGTTGTGTGGTATTTGTAATTTTGTTAAGTTTTCGAACAAACTGATGAAGTTTTATTGTTTCCATTAACGTTTTTCGGGGGATTATAAACACAGCAGAGAATTTGATGATGCCCAGTTTCACCTGTACGATAGTAGTCTGTTTGTAAAATGGCATTTGATAGAGCTGTTCTTCTGTTGATGTCTAAAATACTTCTGACATTTAGGCATAAATTTTTTAAATACTTAGCAGTAGGTAGTCAATTGCTTTCTTCGATTGGTAGTCTATTGCTTTCTTCTATGAATAGGATAGCTTTCTCTTTTATGGTGATCACGTTATTGTGTCCGCGGAAGTTTTTCAGCAGAGAGAACCTTTTGCCACTTCTGGGTTCTGCCTTCTCATACAAAAGATGCTCCAACAGAACCGTAGCAAGTTCAAATCTGGATATCTGGACGACGTGGTATATGGCGACACATGGCAAACAGCCCTAAAAGACCTCATCGACCTTGAATCTTGTGGTAAAGACGTGGGTGTTTTGTTGATTCAGAAGAATTGTGAAAATACAGCTTTCGGTCCCAATGAACAGGCTATCTATCACGAATTCCTAAAAGTCTTTTAAAAGATTCACTGTGAGCCAGGAGAGATAGCCAGTCTTCTCGGTGCTGGGTTAGGAGAGACCGCTAGGAGATTTGAGCTCAAAAGCAATTTTGACCAAGTCAAAGTTCTTATCAGCCGAACTCGTGAGCTACCATGTCAAACTGCTTTCATTCTGGTAAGAAACTGCTTCTTCGTTCTCAAACTCAGGTATGGTCTCCGCTCCAGTGCTACCTTCAAACACCAAAATTTCCTCTGTGAAATTGATCAATCAATACGACATGAAACCGAACAAATCTGAACAGTGTTCCTGCTGACTGCTGACTTGCGGAGCCGTATAACATCTGATGGAGTCATTAACTGTTCGATGGCCGACGCTGTCAGACACTGGGAATCACTCTGCAGTGTAAATTTCCCTGACCAGGACTTTAGCCAGGACCATAATTGTTTGCTGAAGCCAATTTCCGAAAAACAGACTCAGACCATTCTGTCAGCTTCTTCAGCAGTTCCGGCATTGTTCGCATCAAGGCTGCAAAGCTGTTGGCTCAGGTGATTGGATTAATGTTCCCCTTCTCGCTCACTTGGGTTAACTTCGTCTGACGACGAGTTTCGTATATCGGCGGCACTTCGCATCGGAACGTCTGCGACCATACAGTTCAAGTTTGATTGTGGCTACACAGCGATGTCCGACGGTAAGCACCCCCTTGTCTGTCCGCAAATTAAGAACCGTTTCATTCCTCACAACGATTGCAACAAGGTAGTCAGAGAAGCTTTGAAGACAGCTGCCATCTCATCTACGCTTGAATCCGTTAGCGTCATGAAATATGATGGGCGACGTCCTGATGGCTTAACTTTTATTCCATGACAAAGAGAGAGAACGCTCGCTTGGGATTTCACTTGCATCAGCAGGCTCGCTAGCTCAAACATGCGGTTAGCGTGCGCACCGGGTGCCAATGCTGCTACTGAAGCAGACGTTCGTAAAAGAGCCCACTATGCAGACTTGCCCACGATCGTGAGTTTTGAGCCCATTGCGATAGAGACTCTTGTGGAAGTGGTAAGTCGTATTTTATTTTCTTGAAGGAACTCGCCAGACGCATCCGGGACATCACAGGTGATAAATTTGCTTGCAATTACTTGAAACAACGGTAAGACTTGGCGATTCAACGTGGTTACGCCGGCTGCATCCTTGAGGCAGTAAACTGACATTCCTTGCACATTCCTGTTCTATCTGTTCTGCATTTATATCTTTCTGTTTTTCATGTTTGTTAGTTTAGTTATTTAAAGTAAATTGAGCGGTTGAATAATTACTTAGAACTTAGATGAGCATTTGCTTTTTTCCGCGCACCGAGAAATGGAATTTAAAATTTTGGGTAAAAGAGCCAGGTATGTATGGCTCAGACAATTAACCATCTTACTAATAACTCCTAAAGAAAGTGAGTGCTTGTTCCAAGGAACCCAGGACAGGTAGTTTTCTTAAACGCAGAATCTCCATCGCAATACAGGTAGCAAATGCTACTCTTGTGTTCTTGGTACAATTCAAGATAAATCTTGAAAACAGTTCTTGTTAGCTCATTGGCTTAAAGTATATCCTGTGAGCATGATCGTCATCATATAGACCCTTATTGTATCCAAAATTTTATGATACTGAGGTTCGTGAAGTTATGTTCCGAGCAGTCCAGCTTCATTGTGTACGGCGAATAATGCATCGATTCAGCTGAAGGAATACTGCATCGAGTCAGCTGAAGGATTGTGTACCGGTAGAGAACACTACACTTCTTTGCCCTGGATTGGGTGAACAAGCAGTTCGAAAAAAGCTTATAAGCAGGAACTGCTTAGAACGCTTGTTTCTGGTGGCAAGAAGCTTTCCAGACAGACAGGTTTCTTTCTTCTTTTTGAATCATCGCCGAGCGATCTTAGCAGCAGATCTTTCTCAGTGAATTACGCTGGTTTCCGTCTCGTGGAGAATCAATCGATCTGCTCATCAACCTTCATTGCGTATTATTTTCCACCGACAACCTAACCGCCACAGATGAAAGGGCTCGGTTAAACAGGTGCCGAACACCCGGGTCAGGCGAGCGGTTAGCTGTTCTGTCCTCTAGGAGTGTTGGTGTGACGCTTTCAGATGAAGAATTCAGAATCGCTGCCGGTATTCGTCTTGTTGCCCCTGCCACCTAACTAAACTTTTGCAAGTATGGCATCCTTGGTGATACTGAAGGTTGTCATGCCTTAATTTGTCCTAAGATCAAACATAGCTTCACTCGTCATGCAGAATTTAATTTTGCCCGGAAAGAAACTTTGAAATCAACAGCAGAATCAGTTGGCTCGAAGTGTCAGGATGGGAGACGCCAATGTGGCATCACACTGACAGCTTAATTCGGAGTACGCACTTTGGAATGGGATTTTGCCCAGAGGCAATACTATGCTGACCTGCCCTCTACAAGGCTCTTTGGAACAGTCTCCGTCAAGACACTGTGCGGCATAGTCAAGACTAAATTCGATTTCTTGAAGGAGCTTTCGGAGAAAGTACGCGTCGTAACGGGCGAGAAGCTGGCCTTCAAATACCTTAGCAGCGTATCGGAATGGCATTCAACCGTGGGAATGATGGGTGCGTCATTGCTGCGCTCCAATTCTGATCTAAGTACCTGGTGTAGTCCGTGATAATATACTTGTATCAATGTTAGTTCGATTTCTGACTTATTTTAATATAAAAGTTATTAGATTATTTCGTTTTGTTTTGTATCATTATGTGTTATAATTTCCCGTATACTGGCCTGATTTAAGGATGGTTGCCTTTCTGGTTGTCTGCATAAAAGGTACAAAACACCTGGCTTCAATTCTCATGCGTACAAATTTTGCTATAGGCCTATTATTTTTCAGATTCGCAGAAATGGCTGCAGCTTTCTTTGCAGTATTGTTGTTATTCTGCATATATTTTGAAGAAACATTAAGTGTGGGATGTTCTGGAAGTGCAATTGATGGGGAGCGCCGACAACTTTTGCAGATATTAGATCCTTTGAAAGCGTATGGCTTCATCATACAAGATCAACATTCAGTGAATGAATACACTGTTCATTTATGCAACAATCCGTTTTCTCAGGTTAAAATCAAAACTACTTCGATTAATTTTTCCTATCTCATGTTTTCGTGCAATCAAATCATTCATAAAATATTGTTTTAGGCAGCTGTATGGCAGCGAAATCTTGTAAACGACACAGGAGAAAGAGTTGTATTGGGCGTGCAGAATGATACTAGGGTTGTGAAGGGCAGCGAACATATGATAATAACATTCGGTAGCGGACAAACATATACTTCTGGACTCTGCGAAGGTCATAAACGGTCAGCAATTATTATATTGACTTGTGTTCACGACAAACTTCATGGAAACGTGAGACATGTAAAGGAGAGTGTCGGTAGAGATCAGTCAAACTGCTATTTTTTGTTCGAGTTCGAAACAAGTGTTGTTTGCAACTCGACGAAACAAAGCTCTTTCCCTAATGCCCTTTTCAGTGTGTTTTTTGCAGTTTCTGTTGGCGGGGCGTTGATTGCAATGATGGTGTTGCTGATAGTCTATAAAGCCAGTGGAAGTTGTCTTCTCGGCTCAATGCAGACTTTTTATGACAAGTTGAACGCAGCGATTGTACGTCGTAAAAGCGAAGAGTTTGGAGCTAAATATGACAGGTTCAATTCCTCTGCTACAATAAATCAAGCGAATATGGAGATTTAACGAGAAAAGAATCGAGCTCAACAGATTGTGCAAATGTTCTGAAAAGGAGATTTTATTTTTCTATTGATGTGCTGTGCTGTAAACTGATAGTTTTCTACATCATAACTAATTTTTCTATGATTTGTGGAATTATTCGGAAAAGTAGTCAGCTAAAGTTAGAAAAATCTTATAGTTAGAAAAATCTTATAACGTTTAGTTTATTTATTGAAAAGCTCTTTGTACTACTTTTAGTTAGCTAAAATATATCTTAAATAAATGTCTGTAATATGAAGTATTCTCTCTCTGGCTCTTGCGACAAGTTTATTTTTCAAGAAAAAGTTTTTTTGCTCTATGTCAATCAATTTCAGATCTCTGTTAATTGAAAAATGAGCGAACAACAGCCACGAGGAGGATTCGGAGGTCGACCCAGAGGCCGAGGACGCGGTCGAGGCCGTGGCCGCGGACAGAAGACCGAAAAAGAATGGGTCCCTCTTACCAAACTGGGCAAGCTCGTCAAGGCTGGAAAAATAAGGAAATTAGAAGAAATATACCTACACTCCCTGCCCATCAAGGAACCCGAGGTGGTTGATCATTTGGCTGAGGGAACCCTGAAAGACGAAGTTCTGAAGATTATGCCAGTGCAGAAACAGACAAGAGCTGGTCAGCGAACGAGGTTTAAGGCTTTCGTAGCTGTCGGAGACTCAAACGGACACATTGGACTGGGAGTGAAGTGCTCCAAGGAAGTGGCAACAGCTATCCGAGGGGCTATTATTAATGCTAAGCTGTCTCTGATTCCGATTAGAAGGGGATACTGGGGAAACAACATTGGTCTGCCGCATACTGTGCCTGTGAAGGTTACAGGGAAGTGCGGAAGTGTAATGGTGAGACTGATTCCTGCGCCGAGGGGAACCGGAATTGTGAGCTCGCCAGTGCCCAAGAAGTTGCTTCAGATGGCTGGCGTTGAAGATTGCTATACATGCTCTAGTGGTTAGTTTCTTGTTCATCCGAAACAACATTTTTTTGATAATTGTTTCACGAGAGATGGCGACGAAATACAGTGCTGATTTAAACTAACCGGACAAAACGCGTTAAATTTGAAATTTAAAACACGTTTTTCTCAAATTGGGTTCAGTTTAGGTGAAAACTTACGATGACAAAACTTGCTTAAAATTATTTTAGCTGAATTAATATGGTATAATTTGTTTTGCGAAATTCGGGTCCGAAATTTTACCCCAGAAATGGGTCATTTTGGCTTTTCTTAGTTAATCAAAAATTACGCCGAAAATACCCAGTCAATCACAGACATAATTATATCAAAGTGAGCCCCTTACGTAGCCCAACAAACTTTAAGAAGGGTATTTTCTCCAAAAAAAAATGCAAAGTTGTTTAAAAATTGTTTTTTAATAAAAAGTTGGTATTTTATATAGTAAAAATGACCTTTTTTGTCTATCAAACAAAAATAAATTAACTTATACAATATTTTGGAGATTATGCCCTTCTTAAAGTTTGTTGGGCTACGTAAGGGGCTCACTTTGATATAATTATGTCTGTGATCGACTGGGTCTTTTCGGCGCAATTTTTTATTAACTAAGAAAAGTCAAAATGACCTATTTTTGGGGTAACATTTCGGACCCGAATTTCGCAAAACAATTTACACCATATTAATTCTGCTAAAATTTTAGGCAAGTTTTGTCTTCATAAGTTTTCACCTAAACTCAACCCAATTTGAGAAAATGCGTTTTAAATTTCAATTTTAAAGCGTTTTGTCCGGTTAGTTTATATGAGCACTGTAATATCATCTCATTTTTTCACGTTAGTTTATTTTTTAAATCCGATATGGAGCTTTAATTAACCCGTGGGTTACTTTGAACGTCAAAAAAAACAGATTTACAAATGTTCCTTGGCCTAAATTTTCGTCTTCCTTGTTAATTCAAACAATTTTAAAAGGTGCAACTTAGAAATACATTTTTTCTGTAATTTGCATTTGAGAAGAAAGTTACCCGCTCGATGAAATAACTATACCCGTAAATTTCAAACTGTGATATTTAAGAGTCGATGAACGTGGTTCAGACTCTTATGTAGGTCGCGATGATTTTTAACAGGGGCGGATCTAGGATTTTCTCGAGGGGGGCGGATTCTCAAAAAGTCGACAAAATTGATTTTCCGAGATCTCCTAAAGCACTAAAAAGACGGTTTTTTAGTCAAATTTTTGCGCCGGTGGCGAATTTCTGAAAAAACAGGTCGGAAGAGTTGTTATTGTGCACTTTTTTTCGGAACAAACGTGTTTTTTTTTGCGCGCACTCCCCCTCAAAGTTAGTATATTTTGGCGCCTTTAGAAAAGTTTTAGGGTCGGTCGGCCAAAAATGGATTTCTTAAAAAGTACCAAAGGGGGGACCCTGTGGGTCGGCAGGGGGTCGAATCCCTTAGAGAGAGCGTCCCCCCCCCTAAATCCTAAGAAACATAGCCAACTGACAGTTGGAAAAGACTAATGAACGCAAAGAAACTGAAAGAAACCACTTTGTTTTTTCACAAATTTTCGTATTTGGAATTTCGAAGAAAAAATTAGATGGCCTTAAAGCTCGTTGAATTTGTAGAACAATTTATTATGGATACTTTTTGATGAAAATTAACCCAATTGAGAAAACTGGATCGATAGGTAAAACTTTTATTTCGCTGGGAAATTCGATAATAAATTTCCATTTTCGAAATTAGAAGTCGATTACGTTTTTCGTGATCTTTACAATTTTGCTGTTCGTGACCTTTACACAACTTTTCGTGGCCTTTAAAATTTCATTTTTTTTGTTAAAAGGAATGCAAGCTCTAGTACCAAACAGCAAAAATCTGATCGATTTTTCGTGAACTTTACAATTTTGTTTTTCGTGACCTCCACAATTTTGCTGATCGTGACCAACTGACAAAACTGATCGTGACAAAACTCAATTTATAAGACTATAAAAATTGTTCAAGCTCGAATTTAAAAATTGTTCATGCTCGATTTTACTTTTTCGCTCTTTGACTTTTTAAATTCAGTTCATTTTATTTGTTAAAAGGAATGCAAGCTCTACTATCAAGCAACAAAAATCTGATCGACTTCTAGTTTCGAAAATGAAATTTAACTATCAGATTTCTCAGCGAAATAAAAATTTTACCTATTGATCCCGTCTTCTCGAATTGGGTTTATTTTATCAAAAAAGAACCCAAACAAGATTTGTTCTAGAAACTAAAGAGGTTTAAGGTCATCTATTTTTTTTTGAAAATTGATAGTTTTCAAAAACAAGTCGGGATTTTTTTTGTGTACTTGTGTTCATTGACTCTTTTCCAGCTGTCTGTTGGCTTTTTTTTTAGTTATATCAGTTTTTCAATATTTAGGACAAACTGCGACTCTGGGAAATTTTGCAAAGGCCGTGTATGCTGCTCTGGGAAAGACATACTCGTTCTTGACTCCCGACTTGTGGAAGCAGACGGCCTTCATCAAGGGACCATACCAGGAGCATACCGACTTCCTGGCTCTGGAACAGAAGTAGTGGTGTAAATTATCACTATTGCTGTGAATGTTTAATTTGTTCTAAATATTGCCTGAATAAATCGTTCACACCCTCTGTTTTTGCAAATTTCTACATGAATTTTTTGTTGGCTGCCCCGTAGTAAGGGAATACTTTTTTCATCTCAAAAGTTAAAAAAAAAGTAACAGCTTGCCTACTTTGCTTGTCCCCGCTAACCACTACCAACATCAGCCGGTTTAATTTCAGCATTGGAAATGCAGACTGTTTTTCGAAAAATAGCCCTTGAGATTTTCAACTAGTTTTGCTGTAAGGTTCGTTTCCGCAAATCATTCATACCTTTCCGCCGATCTACGACCCTCATGTTTTTTGTTTTTAATTGTCCCTTAAGTGTGTTAGTTCTGCTTATTAAATGCTTAATGATTGATAAGTTCAATAAGTAGTCATCGATCGGTATCCCGCGTGTAATTGACATTGTAATTTGGAAGCAGAAATTAGATAGAAATTAAGCAGAAGTTGGAGTTCAAAATGTTAAGGAAGAAAACGACTAGTTTTAGCTGCATATGTTTCTGAAAACACGGTTGCGTAGAAAGTGAGGGCGAGGGGTGGTATACCCGAATACGTTCTTGGAGTTTTGCTTAAACATTACACACATCGACTAGATAGCAATTTAAAGATTCGATAAATGTGTAGAAATTTTTTCACTACTTCAAGAACTACAGAATTTTTTCAATACACTTGAGTTATGATATGCAATCCATGTATGCTTTAATATCGCGCTTATAAATACTTGAAAATTCTTCAGGTCAAAATGCCCCTCAAGAAACAACGAGGGCGAAAACGGAAGGAGATTTTTTCTACTGAATCTAGTGAGGTTTTGGCCACCCCAGATGAACTGGAAGTTGAATCAATATTGGACAAGAAATTCGTCAACGGGGAGGCTCGATACCTCCTGAGGTGGAAAGGATACGACTCTTCTGAAGATACATGGGAACCTGTTGAACACCTGGGGTGTCCTGCCCTATTAGAAGAGTTTAACCGTAACTGGGAAAAACAGCAAGCAGGGAAAAGCCCTGAAGACGACTTGACGATGAGTACAAATGAGATTCAAACTGATAAGCCGAAGGTAAAGAGACCAAGAAAACACAAGTACCAAGAGCTGCAGCATGATAAAAATGCAGGCAGCGATGACGATGATTTTCCGACCCAAGTACCAGTCTCAAAGCAATCAATGGACGGCTGTGTAACTGAAGAGCCTATTTCAAATTCCGTGTTTAGTAACGAGAGTGCAGCAGTTTCAACAAACAAGCCGAATCAAGTTCCCGAGAAAGTTGTGAAAACGGAGCCGAAGATCTTCTTGGATTCGGACGATACTGCTTCTGAACCGTGTTCGTCTCAAAGAGACGTACAAGAGGTAAATGTAGACCAAACGAGAAAAGAACCGATAGGATTTGCACGGGGATGCGAACCTGATTGTATATTGGGGGCAACAGAAGCAGGAGGAAGTCTGAAGTTCCTAATGAAGTGGAAGAACTGCAGCAAAGTAGACCTGGTCTCATCTGAAGAAGCAAATGAGAAGTGTCCAAAGACTGTCATAGCGTTTTATGTCAAGCATCTAACCTGGAAATCAGGTCCCAATCCTAATTGAACTTGAACTCAGAAACTTTCATCCTTTTCTAATTTTAATGAAAAACGTATTAAATTTTTATTTGTACGGCAATAGATTAAAAACTTTGTTCTAAAAGGGTTCTTCTGATACTTCGCTTATACTTTTTGTTTTTAGATTTTATCGATCTTCATATCTCTTTAAAGCAAATATGTTCATTAGTGTTATAAATTACTTATTCTGATCATTCGTTTTATGAATGATCAACTTCAAATCAGTATAAAGTTTACTGCTCTGTGCATCTGTTTTTAATTTAATTACATTGGAAAACTGCTATTTCAAGATGGCACTTCTTAATCGATTATGTGAATTTTTTTCTTTAAGATTATTGTCCAATATTGTATCACGTGGGTTTGTTAACGATCCATTAAAAATAAATTTAAAGCAGCTGATATCTAAGTAATTTTTTTTCAGAATATGGTAAACCTCTTATAATAGATCGTCGAGTAAATTTGTTTCTCGAAATCAATCAATTTGGAACCAATGGAGAATTCATTTTTCTAATACATCAAATTAAAGGCATGTATATACTAGACAATACATAGAGCTATGATGTGACATTTCTGCCTAGATTCTTATATGATTTTTCTCTGGTATGTGGCATGGGATAGCTTGCTGTAACCTCTAAACATTCTCCTTTTTCTCTGAGGGTAGAGAACGATGACTTCGTCGTTTTCGTACGGGGGACGTGTAATGTAGTTGTTCATTTGGTCTTTATGTGGGGATCGCTTATATGAGCCAGATTCTCAACATGTATTCACCAGATTCTCAAAAACATTTATTCAGTATTGACAAAATTTTAAAATTAACAAGGATGGCCGGTTACTGTGTAAGTAGCACAGAATGTTCCGACCATAGTCAATAAGTACAATTTTTTTCAACTTGTTTTTTTTTCTGCGTGGTTGGATAAAAAGATCTGCCCGAGAAATAGAACTTCGGCATATTCGACAGTCATAGTAAGTTAGGCCAACTGGAAAACACGTTTCGCAGAAAAATGACGAAAAAACCTTAAAGAAATCATTAAAAAAATTGAAATTTGTAGGAATTTTTTAGATTTTTTTTGCAGAAACTTTCAGTCTTTGAAACTTTGATTCCCAAAATGGAGCTGAAAAACTCCCAAAAATAACTTTTACTTGAGTAAAACTAAGTATTTACGGCTAAAAGAAGCTTAACTAGGCTATTGTAAGCCTGCACACTCACTTTTAGCTCAAATTTGGACCAAAAGACAAAAATTGCAAACAGGTTTTTTTCGACACCAAATTTAAATTTTTTTTCAATGTCGTTCGAATCACGAATGAAAGGGTTATTATCTAATATATCACTCGATCCATTCTGACAATTATTTGTGGTAACTGATTAAGAGTCATGAACGTAGTGAGTGTTCGTATATAGTTCTTGCTGATTTTTTTTTGTTTTTCTTTTTCAGATAAAAGTCTAAAAATTTGTTCATGCTCAGTTAAGATTTTTCGAGGTTTGACTTGTGATTTTTTTCAGTGCATTTCTATTGTTAAAAGGAATGCAAACTCCACTATCGAACATGAAAAATGTAAAGGTCACGAAAAACATGATCGACTTCTAATTTTGAAAATGGAAATTAATTATCAGATTTCCCAGCGAAAAAAAGTTTTATGGGTTAATTTGGGTTGTTTAACAAAAACGTGTCCATCAAAAATTGTTCTACAAATTCAAAGAGCGTTAAGTCCATCTAATTTTAATTCGAAATTCAAAACTTTAAGATTTTTGAAAAGAAAAAAGTTTTTTTTTTTTTTCAGTTTCCTTGCGTTCTTTGCTCTTTCCAACTGTCAGTTGGCTATGTTTTCAGGTGGAAAACAAAATTAAATACCGTTGCGATAGGCAGGGTAATGCGACCGGGTATTAGAATTTTGGCACTAAAAAATTTTGTTCGCAGAATGGTCAAAATTAGAAATGGTAAATTTAGGTTCAGTTCATAATTAATTCAATTCGTTTTGCGTCTCCGGCACACTTGGTCTTTAGGTAACGGATACGGTTGACACCACAAAAGTCATGGCGTTCAGGGTACTTTCACAGTTTGCAGGAGGCCATGAGCTTATGTTTGACTGCTGAAATGATTTTTAATTTCAATATATACAGTTTATCTTATGATTTTTACAATTTCAAAAAAAATCAAGATTTAAAAAAACTCAAGATTTAAAAACTTCATGTTTAAAGTTCTGAAAACTATGGCAGGGTGCTGTCTAGGAACTCTCATAAGTTTATATCTTGCCTCCAAATTCGACTGATTAACCCCATTTATGCTGCTACTTGCGACGGCTTTGATTTTTCAAAAGTTTTGTGAATTGGCTGACCTTTTGGCGGGTTGATGTCAGACTACTACAAGCAATTGCAGATGTGGTCTTTATCTTGATTATATTGCTCAATTTTTATAAATTTCCAAAATAGACATTTTTTATGATTGTTTGAAAGTTTTTCATTAAACTGAGAAATAAAGAAAAAAGAGTCTGATGATTTTCAATTGATTACATTGTGTTAAACGATTGATGGCAGCGAATGATATATACGGACAAACAAAAATAATTGAATAAGTTAGACGAGGATCTTACTCTTGAACGTACTAATTTTGCAAGTAAAATCGTTTCAGCATTTTTTCATTTAATGAAAGTGCAAATTTATTAATGAAAGTGCAAATTAAACCCGGTCCTTCAGGAAATTTGACCATATTACTTCAAAAAAACCTTAAAATTGAATTTTTCCTTCACCTTATGAAATAGAAAACGCTACTGGATGCCCAATCGCTTGTTACTATTGCTTCAATCTCGTTGATTTTCTTATGTTTTTCTCTTGGCGATAAGCAAGGGTGCTCAAATCAGGGGCTAGATTTTTTCCGTAAAAGTTTTTGTTCACAGGACTCACCTCCTGAATCCTGGACTCACTCATATACTTTCTATATTACCAGTTTAATAACGATGAAGCACCTGGCGCATTTGGCTTAGTAGTAAAACGCTTGCACGCTTGTTTGAGATGGCAAAGACTTGTGGTTCTAATCCTTGGACCTGTTTTTTTTCTAAGGTTTTGCTTGTTCGACTTCCGTCTGTCATTGTTTTTGTCGACTTAATTCCCATAGCCCAATTTTTTTTGAATGTGAGTTTTTTATTAGTTCTTTTTACACCCATGCTTGACAACAAAACTCGGTAATTTGATTTCAGTCGCGGTGTTTTTTTGCCAACTCAAAATTTTTCGCTATCATAGATTTTATCTCTGCTTTTTTTCGCCGGCTTAGTTCCTGTAGAGAACGTGTTTTAAAAAAAAAATGGTTTTTTCAAGCTTTCCAGAAACTCCATGAAAAATTTCTAATTGTGTAGGTAATTTTGTCTGGAATTTTTGAAGTTTTTTTTCTGCAATTTTCATAACTTTTGATGACGAAAACAATTTTTGAATGTGCTTTTTCAATTTTCGAATTTTGTTTCGTTTTATGCTAATCGCAATCATTATTTTTTGGATCGCTTGTGGTGCGAAGCCCAGCTTCGCTTCTTTGTCTAAGTAAGCAATATCCACGTTCATTAATCTGTTTGAAGCACCGGAGGTATGTTACACGCTAATATGTTTGATTTCTTCAAAAACTGAAAAAAAACCTATGTAAAAGAATGGAATGTAATTTCGACGGAGCGCACTATAATAATCGCTAGTAGCAAATTTGCTACCGTACCAAAAAGTTGCTCTTAATTTGATTGTTTTTTTAAGGTAGCACTCGATTTGCTATCGATAGCTATTTTTTGTGTTGAGATTAAAATATGTACCAGTCGCATGGTTTTTGGCATGCATTTAGTTCAACAAAATCCAAGGTTTCTAAAAACGCAATCTAAAAATGTAATTGCAACCAAATTGTCAGAAGAAACATCTCGCAACTTCAATAAAATCGGTCATCAAGTGGAAACCCAACTGGCTGAAGTTCATCGAACAATCCTGATTTTAGATGCAAGTTACGTAACGGAAAAGTTTTTTGATTTTGCTTAGCAAATATCAAGGTCTTTTGCTTCGACCAGGAGCGGATCTAAAATTTTTTTGAAGGAGGCGAATTTTTCGGAGCTTCGAAACTTTTGTCGACCTTTTCTTAAGTCGAACATATTGATTTTCCGAGCACTCTCAAATCTATATAAAACTTTTTTTCGCTTTCGATCTGTCTGATGATTTTTGTCGACTTAAATCCCGTAGCCCAATTTTTTTGAATGTTTATTTTTCTTCTAAGTTGCTTTTACACCCATGCTCGACAACAAAGCTCGGAATGTGTTTTTTGCAAAATGAAAATTTTTGGCTTGTATAGATTTTTGTCTACCTGCTTATCTCTGCCGGTTTAGTTACTGCAGACCCGTTTTTTTTTTGAAAATTAGGCTTCTTTCTAGCTTTCAAAAAATTGAAATTTTTATTGACCTTTTTTTCAGGTCGACAAAATTTTTTATCCGATTTCTCCCAAACCAATTTAAAGAATCTTTTCAAGCAACGTTTTTTTTTGCCGCGCTGGCAATTTTTTTTCTAGAAAACAGCCAAAAGGCGTTTTAACGCTTTTTTTTACCCGAAGTTCTCGGTTTTTTTTTTCAAGCGCTCTCCCTTAAAGTAAGTACGGTCAATATAGGAGGCCGATATTGAAGCTCGATATTGGAGCTCAAGGTGCTTCTAGAAAAAATTTCAAGGTCGGTCAGCCAAAACAGGATGTCTTAAAATAGGATCAAAGGACAGACATTTTGGGTCATCAGGTGGTGGAATCCGCTAAATCCGCAATGGCCTCGACACAACGAAATTTATTTGTAACTGTTGCTTTCTTTCAGATTTAAAATGAGTTTTTTTTTCTTTGGATCGAGGCTTGAATATTTTTTTTCTACAAATTAAAGACTTTCAACTATAAAAAAAAACACATTCTCATAATGAAGTAGGTAGCTCAATTCCAAGAATTTTTAATATTTTCTTTCAAAAAGTTTTTGGTTTTTCAACCAGCTGTTTTTACCCTTGCGATCAGCAAGGGCATTGCAATCAAATACTAAGCGTTCTCGCGTAAATAATTTACTTTATCACAGAATTTGAGTCCTTATGGATTGATATCCTGGTCCTGTTGTTGGAAATACTCCAACAGACATATTTTTAGTTAGGTATCGGTCGCATTCAAAAATTTTTTGATCTAAAATGTTTGTCTTTTTTTTGCTTACTGGGTTTCGGCCCGCTGTATATCGGTTTAAAATTTTTTATTACTGTTAACTCTTTGTTAGTTTCAGATCTTTTTTGATTTTTTTTCGACTTGAAGGATTTTTGCTCAAGTATTTTTGGTTTTGTTACCAATTGGGATAAAAATTCGGTCCTATTAGTGCGATAAAAC